CTTCAAGTTGCACTAACTTTGTGTATTCAACTTCTGCTGTACAAAACTTGTTGGTTTAACAGACACTAGCCTGTTGTTGTAATGTTGTGGCTTGAAACTAGTATCTAACTAAAAATAATGTCTTCAAGTTGCTTCTGATTCGAGGTGTTCAGTGTTGTTGAGAATTGTATCGTCTTCAATATATATATATTATTATTTCAAGAGAATAACTCGAATTACTTGAGTTTTGGGTAATAATACTTGATGGTCTCTCATTTTGTGAATTCAGGTAACAAAAATATTGTATTGCTTATGTAGTTTCTTCTCAACTTCTAATCTCAAATGAAAATACAATAAGACCCCAAAAAAAGCTATAAATGAATCGTTCCCAAAAGTGAAAGTGCCAAGTAAACGAATCAACATTTCTGTTCTGTTGTGTCTTCTAACCAGTTAAAGTGTATGCTTGTTCTCTGTAAGGCTATGACAATCAAAGGTTAAGCCTGTGTATTGTAATGATACTTGTCCTTGTGGCTATTCGTATATCTTCTTTCTTCTCAATATTGTTGGAAGTATGGAGATAAACCCGATGAGGAATAGCACCGACAATGTCTTGAAATCATACAGATCCTTCACCGATTTGAGATCTCCGATAGCAAGGCCAGCCTGCATTAAAAAGAATCAGAACTTAAGCTCTCATTGATGCTAAAGAATTGTACAGTTACCAAAAAGAAAAGAAGCAAATGATTGCAATCATCCATAGAAGCATCGACGTGGAAGAGCAAAACGATGATTCTTTTGCAAGAAATTACTCTCTGACGAGCATATATACATGGAGAAGGAGCAAAAGGGCATCTTACTCTGACGGTTATATAAGCGGCCGGGATGAGACCAACCAATGTGGCCAAGAAGAAGACATGGAAAGGTACATCGACAATCGGAGAAGCCAAATTGATAAATAGATTTGGCAGAGTTGGTGTTATCCTCAGAAACAACATATAGTTAAGAAGCTTATCTCTACGCTTACCAATCTGAAAACACACACATAAAACCAATCAGTACCAAGTTGAAGAATTTTGCCACCAACATGAGAAAGAAACAACAAAAAGGTTACCTCAGCCTGAAAGAATCTCAATTTGTCAGGCCATAGCCAAGTAATCAGTGGCCGACCGATCAATTTCGACAGAAAGAAACACGAAGTAGCTCCTGCGGTTGCGTTGAAAACAACCAAGACAACACCTTTGATAACACCAAAGAGAGCTCCAGCTAACAGAGACATGAATATAGTCCCTGGAATCATGAATGTCTGCATAAAAATGTAGGTCGCACAGTACCCTAATACAAACTGCGCCGGGTATTCATTCACATAATTCGCAAGATTGTCTCTGA